TATTAACAAATCAAATTATTTGTTACATATTAATTATTAGTTTTTAAAATGGTAAAATAAATTACAACAAGAAATTCAATTAAGAAAAATATATATATTTATTTACTTTGAATTAGTAAACTAAAATTAAAAAAAAAAAAACTATTTTTTATAAAGAAAATATATAAAATTGCTGGAGAGAAGGTTCTGATGATGTGCACTAAGGATCAAGAAGCAGATATTGGACAGGAAAAACGAATCGAAGCACAAATTCCTAAAGGGTAGAGGACAGGGAGATGGAAGCATATTGTTGCTTTGGAAATGGATTCTCATTTACATTTTTTATTCCGTAAAATTTTATTCAATAAATGTCTAATTATATTAAGCATTGAGCATTGTGTACTAAATATGCTTTAACTAAATGACAAATGAATATACTCAATTGATAATTTTGATGAAGTTATAAAAACATTTATTCAGCCGCCAAGTAGACAATATCTCAATGGCTAGGAGCGAGGGTTGGATTTGATTGGTTTTGAGTCCAACCAAAACTCAACCTAACATGTTTGATTTGACAATAATTCAAACCGAAACCAATCCATTTACGGTTGAAACCCAACCCAATCCAAACCGACCAAACTCTGGTTGGGTTGGGTTGGGTTGATTTGTTTGGACTTAAGTATAATTCAAGTTGGACAATTTTTTATGGGCCCAATGGTTGTGACCTTTTTCGTTGAATTTGAATAATTTTTTTTAAAGTTTGATATCATTTCAATTTGGACCAATTTCAGTTAGATTAAAAATGATGATTTCAAAGGCTTTAAGTGGATTAACGTTGGATCAATGGTACGTGGGGTTAAGTTCCATTCCATAGAACAATATAAAATAATTTTTTTTGTAAAATCTGTTAAATAAATTATATCATGATCAAATTAAATGCATATTAAATCAATCTAAATANATTTTTTTGTAAAACCTGTTAAATAAATTAAATCATGATCAAATTAAATGCATAATAAATCAATCTAAATATATGTTGAATACCCGCATATTATACCTATTGAATAAAATGAATTCTACCTAAATACTAAAAATGTTAAATCATCTAAATTCAATACAAAATCACCTCCTTCAATCAAGTTTTTATTCAAAAATCACATCAAAAAATTGAGTCGAGAAGTCGATGCACGAACAGCAATGAGAGGCAGAAGAGACGTGAGGCACAAGAAAATTTTGATAAATAGGTTTTAGGTTTTAAACACTAATTTTCTTTTTAATATTTTTTAATTTATTGTGTTGTGTTGTGTTGAGTTGTGTTGGATTTGATTAGATTTTAATAGATAACCCGGAACCCAACCCGACCTAAAATTTGATTTCCTAACCCGTATCCAACCCAATTGAACTAAAAAATCAATCCAAACCGATTGATTTATATTGGGTTGATCGGTTTGAATTGGTTTTTGCCAAACCCTAGGCGACAATAGATCAAGTCAAGTTGGTCTATGAGTAAGCAGCCACCCACGATCAACTTGTTAAGATTTGATGTTCCATCTTAAAAGGTCAACCTTATTAAGAAAAGTAGCCCGAGATCTTTATTAATTGGTCTGTGTCAACATCATTTATCGATGTATGATCTATATTCCTTAACACGCCCCTGCAAGATGGTGACTCATTTGAGCAGACCAATCTTGAAATCTACGTGTTCATTATTAGAGTCTTATCGGGATCGAATAGCTCGTTGGAGTATAATAGGCCCTGATACCATGTTAAAATTTGAGATTCCATCTTAAAAAGTCAACCTTGTTAAGAGGAGTAGTCTGTGATCTTTATTAGTTGGTTTATGTTTACATCTTTATTCGATGTGAGATATATATCTCTTAACACAACTCAACCCATGAGCC